AATTAGAAAAATAATAATTAATGGTGATGATTTAACATACACAAATGAAATTATTTGTTTGCCTTAAAGACTTTTGCTGGTTACATTATTTGTTTTGTAAGAGAGGGAGATATCTTGGTTTTTTGTTGCCATGAATTCTTTCCTATCATGATGATGTTCTGAAAGTCTTTGAAATATGAAGAGTTGATTTGGAAAGTCTTTTCCCCATGGGGACAGCCTAGCAGTGGAGCTGGGGCCCAGAGAGTTTGGGCTGACTCCATCCTTGCAGGGTTTCATGCCCTGACTTCGTAAAGCCCTGAGCAGCCAAATGTGATTCCACAACTGAGCTTTCCCTGAGAAGGGGTTGGGACTGGAAACCCAGCTCCCCACCAGACTGACCCCAGTCCTGGCATCCTGTGATTTTCAGGGGTACAACCATTTGCTTCAAGTTTATGATGTCAGGTCATGTAATCCTGAAGGATGACAGTCTGGGAGGTAGTTGTGATTCTTGTTCATTGTGATTCTGCCAATTGTCAAGTCAAATGCTGTATACGTATGTGAAGGCTTGAACAGCTGCAAACTGAAACATGGTACCACATGTGCCTGGTCCTTTGTCCTCCCCCATACCCAAATCATGAACTATCAAAGAACAAGAGTGTATTTACATGCTGGTGAATGATTAAATTAGTGTCTGTCAGCTGAGATTAACTGAGAGCAAAGGCTGTTGCCTAGCTTGTAGCAAATGAAAAGTGAAATGTGTTCATTGAAACCACTGAGGAAGTTTATTTGGTTGGCAAAATCCTGTGGAGAATCTGCTTATTTCTAAGACATGGTTTAAGAGAGTATTTTTTTCTTTTTACAGGTTCTGCCTCTATCTGTTTTCAAGGCTTTTAACATTAAGCTAATGCAGAAAGCCTTAAAAGCAAAATTCCTTATAGAGTGTGGGGCATAAAGGAGGTATAGCATAACTTGCTTTTTAAAAACAGTATCTTCTTTTGTCAGATGAAAAATGACCACAGAGGTGAGCAATACCAAAAATCTCTCAGTAAGCTGGTGAACAGCAGTGCAACTTTCTTGGCTTTGTTGGGGTGTGTGGTCTTCCTGTTCCTGCTTGTCAAAGACAAGGTGGTGCAAAGGGGGAGAGCATCTTGATGTTCACTGGATGGCAAACAATCAGCTTTTTTCCCTATTCTCTGCCCTATGAAGCCAAGAGTGATGTACCATGGCAGCACCTTTCTTCTATGGCAGGGAAAATGGGTGTTTTTTTCTTACCCACAGCAGGCCCCAGTAGTCAGTTTTACTTAACTGGCTGCAGTGAGGATTGCCTGAACTCAGATATTCATTGGGATTGACCCCAGAAATGAAAACATGTTTAAAATTTCTGTGTAAAATATACCAGCTTTCTGACTCATCTTTTCATACCATCTTCTAAAACGAAAAGTGATTTGAAATAAAGAGTTTGAAAGTCTTGATAAGAGTCATGTTGAATCATGATAAGTTACACATAAACTTTACCAGGTTTACATGAATATCTACCACATAAGGGTAAAGACTGGCTTGAACCATTCTCCTATAAACTGTTTATCCATGGGACAATAACTTATCAAGCCA